TCTGTAAATATCGCAGATTGTGCTGGTACGGCTGTACCAGGAGCTCCAACTTCCTTTTCTTTTTTTGAGTATTTGCATGTATTCCAAAGTTCCATGCATTTTGCAATAAGGTGGCTTCCCTTGGTTTGCAGCCACCTGCCTATCATCGTTGGGTTTTTTAGTTCCGCCCCTTTCCCCAGGGTTCAGGAAGGAAAGGGAGCCATTTTAGCTCAGTCTTACAGTTAAAAGCTTAGCTACAGGACGTGAATCAGCTTCACCTGTAGAGAAGCTCCGTTTCTTACGAAATTCTGGGGAAAACAGTTCCAAAGGACTCCAGCTGGAGAATCTACAAAGCCTTGACTGGTAGGTCTACTCGGGACCCAAGAAGCAGTTTGGAGCCGGGAGTAGAGCCCACACCAGCAAAGTTTAGAAAGTAGATTGCTCGAGGAGGGGTTAAAAAGGGTTTTCCTCTTAAAGAAAAGAAACAGTTCAAGAAGCCAGTTGTGGACAAGATTAAGAAAGCCACCAGTTGATTCAAAGCCTTGAAGTATTTACTTGACCTGTTAAAGATCTGAGAAGCATTTGTTTAATTTGTTGAAGACCTAAGCAATAATAAAGGACTTTGTTAAACTTTTCAAGCTTTTAAAGACTCTGTACAGGAAAATCCTTAGGGCCTCTCACTCGAGGCACCTTGGCTTCCCGCTGGGCACAAAGAGCACATCCTGTTCAAAAGCCAATTGCTATAGGCCCAGCACGTGAAAGCATACTGTCATTTCTCTTCAAATCGTATAAATCTAAATATGCATAATGGCAACAGATTTGCTTAGTAGCTCATAAATTGAGATTTGACATCAAATAAACCATCCCTCCCAAATATCTACTCGTTAGCTAGCTTTCTCCAAAAAAAAGTGAGGGGAAATTCATGCTCTCCAGTGTTTCTTGCAATTCTTCTACCTGAAATTATTTTAGTACTCATATTGACTGCACTAGCTCCCAGTTGACATAGTTATGGGTCCAATTCCTGGGTCTCTCAAAGGAATGTGCAAATGAGCAAGCGAGCTTTGGATCCAAAGAGTTGAAACTGGTCCCTTTATCCATCTAGAATGCTGCTTTTCTGGTCCAACCATCAGAATTATCTAGTCAGTGTTACTGATGTGACCACAGGACTTTACTCAGGTGTAGGCTATGATAGGCATATGCCCCATCAGCAAAGTTCATTTCTGTTTGTACGGGAACATCCCATTGTAATCCCATTTGAAATCCATCTGAGAAGGACTTAACATTGCTTTGCCACTGTACAATACATTGCATATAGTAATAAAATTAATTAATCTTTGAGACCAAAGCAGATCTCTTTCTGTATATTGTGATTTTATCCTCAAATTCCTTTGTCTTTCTATTGAAAAATGTGAATCTTCCTTATATGAGTGATAACTAGGCATCATTTTCCACCCTGTGTGCCAGTTTGTTCAGTAGTGGATTTCTAGCTAATGCTCTGGCCTACTGCTTACATTGCTATGCACATCAGTAAAATGCAGACTTAGCAATTTTGTAAGAGGATTGTGAAAGCAATAAATTCCAGTTTCTACGCTATGGATTATATGCATCCAGTCTTTAGCTTTTGTTTCTTTATGAAGATTCTTGACTTGTGCTCTTTAAAGAGCCTTTCTCTTTGATTGGCTTACAGACAGGAAAGCCAGAGTCTGTGAATTGTAATTTGTATTGTAATTCTAACTGAGAATTTTTTGAAATAGATTGTGAAGTTAAAGAATATTGTTATCCTGCTTTCTGAATGCTGTTTAAATTTATTTGTTGTTGTGCGCCTTTGAAGTCATTTATGAGTTATGGTAATGCTAAGGTGACCTTATCATGGGATTTTCTAGGTCTGAGAGCCCAAGGTCACCCAGCGGGTTTCCATGGCCGAGTCAGGAATTGAACCCTGGTCTCCAGAGTCTTAGTCTGATGCCCAAACATCTACTTGAAATATTATATTTCATTTCATTTTCAGAGATGAGTGGCACAGGATTAAGATTCATTAGGAGATACCTAAGCAGCCAGACTACATTCACTTGTGACCTAGACTATCTGAAGCAAGTAGGCACGGATGAGAGTTTCATTTTGAATAAAGGCTTCATGCCTCAGGACATTTCTGCTGTTTCTTGCTTCATGCATCTAAGAATATTTGCAGCATTGGGGGAAGTTAAGTAGCCACGTGATCCGTGTGGCAAGCTACTGCACATCAATCTTTGGTTGAAATCACTGCTGTGCCTCCAATTGTGAGTTTTGGGTCTTAGTATTTTTTTCCCTGGCTTACCTGTTCATGCAAGTATCATATTTTGGTTTTCTTCCATCATCCAATAGAGCAGTGGTTCTCAACCTGGGGTCCCCAGATGTTTTTGGCCTTCAACTCCCAGAAATCCTAACAGCTGGTGAACTGGCTGGGATTTCTGGGAGTTGTAGGCAAAAAACATCTGGGGACCCCAGGTTGAGAACCATTGCAATAGAGGGTTACCCGTTTGGGTTTCTCCCATTGGTCTTCTATATACCTACCACTGCTTAGTGTCACCGATATAGTCCTTTCAACTACTGTACCTTCAAATTTAGGCAAAGAGCAGATTTCCAAGTTGCACCATTTTTTCCATTCCCCTTTTTTGTATAAAGCCCTGGTCACAGTGGCCAGACATACCTTCCAGGTATTTGGATTCCAAGAGGATGAATTTGAGAGGGTGTGTGTGTGTGTGTGTGTGTTTTGGGGGGGGGGGTGAGTCTACCATTCTGGATTATACAAGGTATGTTTTTTGGATGATACCTGTGTTGGTCTATTGTAGCAAAACTAGCAGTGTCTAATAGCACCTTAAAGTTTAACAAGTTTTATTTAACACTTTCTTTTGTGAACTACATCATCAGAGGTACTGAGTGTGGTCTCATTTACCAGACCATAGTGTACACAGTTAGGTTGGAGCAGTGTTTCTCAAACTACTCCTCCAGGTGTTTTGGACTTCAGCTCCCAGAAATCCCAGTCATCTTACCAGCTGTTAGGAATTGTGGGAACTGAAATCCAAAACATCTGGAGGATCACTATTTGAAAACTCTGGATTGGAGCATGTAGCAGGTAAGGAGAAAGATACAGTCGACATAGCACAAATGTTTATTACCTTAACAAGTTACTGCTGTTTGTCTATATTTTTCTTTGCATTCAGCTGTTTGAATCAGATGGCATACACTGACAGTAGTTTCCTGTGCTATTTTCATGGTTCTTTCATTCTTTAAAAAACTGATGAACAAAAATATTATAATGTTCTGATGAGAATAGCAGTGCCTCTCAAATCATTGTTGTTGTTTATTTGTATTGCCCCAGAAATGTATATAGTTATATAGCCTCAATCCTTATTTATTTATTTATTTATTTATTTATTTATTTATTTGCAGTATTTATATTCTGCCCTTCTCACCCCGCAGGGGACTCAGGGTGGATTACAATGCACATATACATGGCAAGCATCCAATGCCAATTAGACATACAACATATATAGACAGACACACAGAGGCTATTTAACATTCCAGCTTTTTCTGCTTCATGAGGGTATGCTTATAAGAGTCCTGTAAAATAGGTTTGTTAAGATGTCATGATGGCCTATGGTCACAAAGTAAGTTTCATAAGCCAGTTGGGTTTTGAGCTTGAGTATCCTGTTTCCAAGTCTCATACTTTGAATTAAGTCCGTACTGATTCTCTCAGATCATCAGTTCCTATTAAAATAGTTCCAAGGTTGAAGCATAATAGTGGGAGAAATGTTTCCATTAGTGTTTTGAATTTGCATAATTAAAATCCAAATTAGAATAGCAGACATAATTATAATAATTTGCATAATATGCAAAATAGGTCCCCAGATTTGAGACACTGCATTATGGCAACCCTAGATGTCCCCGCCCCAGTAATGAAATTGCTTTGTCTCTAAGTTTAGGTAGCTACAATAGCATCTTCACTAGCTTCTTCCATTTATCATGAAATACATTCCTTCAAGTCAAACAATGGCTTAGTAGTCCATGTTTTTATCCACCCTCCCCACATTAGAAATTCAGCATTAGTAAGTATATTAGAATGGGAACAGTGTGACACACAGGCTAATGTTCTCTGGGTTCCCCCAGTCTTTCTTGTACTCCTCTTGTCGCTGAATATGCTCTGCAGAATTACAGCAGTTTGACACCACATTAGCTGTCATGTCTCAGTGCTATGGTTTCCTGGGATTTCTCTTTTTGTTATATATTTACCTTTCTCTATCAGAGAGTTCTGGTGTTACAACAAAGTACATGCCCAATGATTTGATAGGATAGAGCCATGGCAATTAAAGTGGTGTCAAACTGCTATAGCTCTGCAGGGTAGATAGTCTGTATGCTAGGCTCAACATAGTGTTTCCTACCACAAAACTGGTACGTTATCTTGTTTTGAACAAAGGAAGTGGGTGCCACTTGCCATTGTATGAAAATTGGGCCTTTGTCTCTCCCTGTCATTTAGTGGTTGCCCAATAGCATTGGAAAGACTTACTATATACCAGTCACTTGGCATCTTTAAAATTACTGTAGTAGACCAGATAGGTGCCATATCACAATGTTTCACTATTATGAAGAGTGAGAAAGTAACTTTTTTTTCGATTTAGCAGGCATCTGGTTTAAGCAATTTCCTCAGCAACACAGGGATTTAAAAAACATTTAATTGATACCACTCTTTCTATTCCAAATAGTACTCAAGATAGCCAAATATAAATGACAGATAAAGTCATACTTAAAATTAAAATTCATTGAACCAAAAACACACATTATGATAAAGACACACTGATGCGAAACGCAGTGCCCACAGATGCCTCATCTTCAGTCTCTATACCAACTGTATCAAAATGCTGTCAAATTGAAATAGCATTAGATTGAAATTTGAATCACTGACTGTATTCGACTAACCCTGGAAATTTGTGTCTCTGGCTGTAAGTCTCAAGTTTGAGCTAACTCTCATGTTTCTGTTTTCACAGCAGCAAATCCCTTGTTATGCTCTACTGACCGGTTTCACTGTAGGAATGGCCTGTGCATTGATAAGAGCTTTATGTGTGACAATCAAAATAACTGCCGGGACAACAGTGATGAAGAAAGTTGTGGAAACTCTCAAGGTAGGTGGAAAGCACAAAACACATTTTTTCCAAGCAGATACGCAATTACATTGTGTTAATTCTTAATTAACAACTCAGTGCTTCTTAATCAAAACCTCATTGTCTGAGCCAGCACTCATTCAGCAATATTTAGCATTTTGCTTAAGACAGGGGCAGGTTATATGTGTAAGACTGGGAGACCTGGGAGGGAGTGAAGTGCACTGACAAAATAGTCACTAGTCAAAAAAGTGTTTTCCTTTTGAACATGACTGTAGCACTTTTCCTGTGAATGTCATTAAGTCATAAAGAACTGCACATCATTTAGTTGGATACATTCATAAATTGAAATTGAAAAGACAGCAAGTGTCCACATTTGTAAGGGTTGCTTAACACAGTTTTCATTACGTAGTTAGGCAAGTTGTACACCTCATTGAACTGTCAGATTTTCCTCCAAATGCAAAGCCTTTATTTTCTGTGAACTTAATACTTAACCTCAGGCTAAGGCCCTGAGTGTTTTGATACAGATTTGCAACTGATAAGCAAACTTTGGCTTCTCTGTCTCTCTGTGTGTATCTACATACATATGTATGTGTGTGTGTTTGTATGTGTGTATATACACACACATATACATACACACATACACACACATATCTACACACACACACAAGTACACATAGACACAAACAGACAAACACAGATACACACATATATATTGGTAGAGGAATTTCTTATTTGGTCCTATCTTGCATGAAACCTGATGTAAAAAAAAACCCTGATAGGATTATTGGTACTTCCAATCAAGCTGTTGTTGTAATGAAATCAACAATGAAACCATCAACATCAACTTAGGGAAGACTTTGCAGATTTCCTCCTTTGGAACAAAAATGTAATATTATGAACATCCCTGGTTAATGCATGAAGAAACTCGCAGAGATAACTGAGTCATTAAAAAACTAGGGCAAGTCTATAATGCACAAACACAGCCCTGGTGGTGAGAGTGATCAGAAATGGGTGCTTTTTGGTTCAACAGAACCAAAATGAATGAATCCATTCCCATCTCTGCTGTCTTCTGTCAAGTCTTTGCTGTTTTTCTCTGTAGACACACATTAATGGCAATTACTTGTTCCAGTGCCATGTCAGTGTCATCTCCAACTGCCACCCTTGCCCTTTCTGCAATTCTGGGCTAGTGTTCACATCGTTAAATAAGAGACCCCTTTCTCCCTTTCTTCGTCAACTCTGCCAAGAACAAAATAGCATGCACAAAGGGCACAGATCAATGTTCTTTTCGATGTTTTCAAAAGAACATGCCACAGCTCCAAGCCGCAGTGGGAGTCGATAACAGTTTGATCCATGTTTATTGCTGGGGCCTTCCGTCTTCTTCTTTGCCATTGACCATATTTTGAGAATTTGTTCCTTCATATTTAAAAAGCTTATAGAGGAAAGAAAAAAACCTGGTGTTGATAACTCCTAGAAACTAATCTTTAGATAGAGTTCATACAGTTGGAAATACATTTTTGAAGATATACTCTTTTGTAGTTTTGCCTCTTCCTCTTCCTTTTTCAACAATGCCTATAAAAGCACATTCCTCACAGTCTTCAGGGGATGTTCATTATTTCTTTAGAATGCATCACTGTATTTTTAAAGGAACCCAGTATTTCTTAAATTTTATCAAAAATTGTATGACTACATTCTGTCAAATCATTGCAACAGATTGGTTCTAAACACAGGGTTCATGTAATGTAGTTGCAAATCTGAACTGTCAGTCTTTTTTTCCTGTTGGATTTTCTCTCATGTTCTTGTTAAAAGCTTTGCTTCACTTTAACCTGGTTGCCTATTGTGAACTCATTTTCCTCTTATTACTACATTTATCTGTTCCTTAACTGACTCTGAATGATGCTCGCAAAGTGCCAAAACACAGTAATATCCCCTCAATGCTGTTATTAGTTTAATGATAGCGTTGTTGCCCAATTACAAGCTGGGTGGTCTGCAAGCCTCATTAATCGTCAGTTTGCATATTCTATTACCAGACATTGAAGATAGTCTCTTTCTGATTAGCTTTTTTGTCTTGTCTCAAACATTTTGTAGTGTGTAGAGAGGCAGGGAGGAGAAACTATTAACCCCCACCAGGTTCTGCTGAGATTGCAGTCTGGTCTTCTGAATCGACCTTCCGTTTTTAGCTATTTTCAAGTTCCTTAAGGTGGAAGGGATAAGTGATCCATTAAAAGATGCAAGTTAGTATTTGTGATTGCATTTGAGTCAGCGGTTCTTTGGACTTATAGAATCATGCTAGAAGAAAGATTGAAGAACCCGATAATGGTTATTGCACAGCTTTCAGCTGATGTGCATGTTATCCACTCAGGCAAGTCTCTTGAGCATTTGATTTTCAACCCAATTTCATGAATATGGTGAATGTGCTATATCTGATATTTCCATTGTATGTTTGTGGAGGGAGTGGGGGTACTTGAAATAATCTTACCCTGTGTCATTGCCAATTTCTGGCACAAGCACCAGAATACTAATCCTTTCCAGAACATACTCATTGTTATCAATCACTTGAGGAAAATGACGAGAGAAAGAGATTAAATTGTAAAGGCCTGATAAACACATCTCCTTCTGGGTTGCTGTGAGTTTTCTGGGCTGTATGGCCATGCTCCAGAAGCATTTTCTCCTGATGTTTCACCCACATTTATTGTGGGCATCCTCAGAGGTTGAGGGATCTGTTGGAAACAAGGCAAGTGAGGTTTATATATCTGTGGAATGTCAAGGGTGGAAGAAAGAACTCTTGTCTGCTTGAGGCAAGTGTGAATGTTTCTCCCACCCTGGACATTCCACAGATACATAAACTTCACTTGCCTAGTTTCCAACAGATCCCTCAACCTCTGAGGATTCCTGCCATAGATGTGGGTGAAACTTCAGGAGATAATACTTCTGGAACATGGCCACACAACCAGGAAAACTCACAGCAACCCAGTGATTCTAACCATGAAATCCTTCAACAACACAAATCTCATTCTGTTTTTATTCAACACTCATCAGATTTCAATTGAAACCAGATCCTAACCACGACCACCATGATGTTGTTACTGTTTTCTTCCAGCCCCTCACCAAAGACCTGTGATCCAAACTTAACAAGCAAATATAGACCCCTTCTATGGATCAAGAAAAGAAATCACTCACTAGAAAAGACAATAATGTTTAGTAAGGTAGAAGGCAGCAAGAAAAGAGGAAATCCACATTGTGGATAGATAGACTCAATCAAGGTATCCACAGCCCTGAGCCTGATGAAAGACTTGAGCATGGGAACTGAAGGTGCCTCATTCATCAGGTCACCATAAGTCAAAGTTGACTTAACAGCAGCAACAGCAGCAAATGGATCAAAATGGAAGTAGGAGCAGCAAGTTTGTTCACAGTACTCAAAACAGCAGGAAATAAAAAGTAGGGGCTGTAAAGATCTCTTTTGAGAGTGGTGCTTCTCAAGTTGATCAGAAATGCTAACTAAGCTAGAGGCGAGGTGAAGAAATTCATAGGTGTTGCCAAGCACTTCAGGATGTGGGCATTAAAATGGAGAATGCAGTTCAGTGTAAGTAAGTGGATTTTTATTCTGTGATATCAAATGTTTTTAATTGATATGTATGAATGCATGTTTATGGCATCTAATTGTTGCCAATCTGTACGCCGCCCTGGGTCGCTTTCGGGCTGAAAAGGGCAGGAATACATAAATACTTTTTTTAAAAAAAAAACCTGTAAAATGTAGTCACAGACACACACAACTTCCAACTTCTCATGTAACCTGAAAGTGACTGACTAGATAGAAATTATGGGTTTTGTTGCATAGTTTAATGAAAGGATGGTAGTTCTTGGTGTTTGTTTATATAATATACTTTTACATGTAAAAAAATTGCAAGTAAAAATCAACAGATATACAATCTTATTAAGACATGACACAGAGGGAAAAGTGGATGGCAGTGTGGAAGGGGACTAAGTACATCAGGTACTATATCTTCTTCATTTCTACTGTGACTAGGGCAGTGGCAAATGTGATGGGGGTGGGGACTTTCATTGGCCTCTGCTCTAGGCATGATGGAGCTGTGCCTACTTCTTCTATCCCTCTGAGGCCAGGGAGATGAATCCTTAGGAGAGGGATTAAAAATTACCAGTGTAGTAGAAATGAACTTTGAGAAGAATAGTATAGAAATGGAGAAAAGACAGGAAATGGCAATGAACATGATCTGTAAGCTCATCTATTCTGTGAGAACACTTTTGGAGCTTTCTTAGTTTAGATAGAAGGACAAGTAAGTGGAGGACATGATAAAGAAGTGTATGGTACAGAATCATTGTAAAGGAACAGCCTTTTTCACAATCTCAAAACAGAAGAACTGGGTTTATGCACATAGGAAGAATGGTGGAAGATTCAAGACAGACAAAAGGAAATACTTTTTCAAGGACACATCATAAAACTGTGGGATTTATTTTCATGGATGTTTGATGATCCCCACATAGATGGATTACAAAGGAATAAAAACAAATAGGAGGCATGAGATCATATATGTGTATAGAAATTTTAGTTTTAAAAAATCAACCCAAAGTTCTTGAGGCAATGTAACTCTTATAAAAAAGGATCAGTACCCTTCTCTGAGTAGAGTAGCAAAAGGTATATCTGCGGAAAATCTAAAAGATGCCCCAACCCCTCTTATCTCTCCACAGCACCACTTCTAGCCTTTTTGTATGCCTGAGTGGGAAATTGCCAGTGACAGCCTGGCGCGGTGGGCCCCTAAAGCAACAATGACATTTCTCTCTGTGAAATAAACCTTGATTTATTCACGGTCATATCAAGATCCATAATTTTAGCCCCAAAACCTTATACATTAATCTGTATGTTTCACCCGGTGATGCAATGGGATAAACTCTTGTGCTGACAGGACTGAATACTGACAGGTCAGAGGTTCATATCCGGGGAAAGCATGGATGAGCTCCCTCTGTCAGCTTCAGCTCCCCATGTGGGGACATGAGAAAAGATTTCC